ATGATTGTAGACCATATCTGCCAAAACCCCTGCCCTTCCCTGCTGGCTTGTGTAGCGTGCAGCATAAAGACTGTCAGATGAGCATCCTCTGGTCTTACACAGAGTGTCAATCTGTAGGCCAGCACTTGCCATAGCAGGGGTAAGCACAGGAGGACCAGCATCCTATGAAGTATAGTTATCTTAGACTTAGTTAAACATAAAAGGCAATAGTGCACTTACAGCTGTAGTAGATGAGCCCTGTTGGTATTGAGGTAAGGGCACAAAATGAGCTACCCTGCCAGCCTGGTATAAAGTCAGTTAATGCCTAACAAGATAAACATAGTCATTTACCATAGACGACTCAGGAGCTAGCTGCACTCGCTCGATAAAAAGAGTGAAGCAAGCTCTTGTGGAAGAGGCTCCGAATAGTCGCAAGGTCTCTAGGAGTGTGACATTTGAGCGACACTGCGAGTCGAGTGATAGTAGAGCATCCAGAGAAGATGGCGAGAAGGGATAGGTGAGGGGCAGAAGAGAGGTGCAGTTCGGGTAGATCAATCGGAAAAGATTTCGAGGTGAACGATAGTCAAGGCCTTCGGATGGGATAGCACGGGAAGTCGCAAACAGAAATGCGACAGGAAAGTCTGGAGCAGAAAGTACATCCAGAAGCCAGTCGATGTTGAATGGTGACATCGAGCTGATAAGACTCGTCTGAAGTGTCTGCAAAAGCACATCCAAACCGACTGTATGCACCTCATCTCCACTCCGATGAACCTGATCGGATCGAAGAGACAATGAAGGGAAAAGCTGGAAATGTTCACAATCTGGAGCCGAAACGATACCACCATAGAAAACAGCACAAGCGACTGTCGTAACCGACAGCTCTTGAGTGCTTGTCGGTGTGGTAGAGTTTGGAATGAAGCGAGTTGCGACAGCATTCTAAAAAAGATATATTGAGAGACAGTCGGTGGCGATGGTAATATACTATACTGACTGATTCATCGCCACTGGCAGATATGGTGGCCCCTCTCTGAGAGAAATTTGCACTACCCGATGCTTGATCGGAGACGATCAGAGCTTGAGGAGGTGACAGTACAGCTCTAGATTGGCTGGATTCCTCAACTTGAGGGTACGATGGCTCAGCAACTATGGAGTAGGTGAGCCCTAAGATGACTAGTAATAGCCTGATCCAATAGGTACCTATCATGTTCCCCACTTCAGCAGAAATAGGCCATTGCGAACGAGCAAGGAGAAGTTCGTCGTGGTGTATAGTAGATCCTAGATCTAAGGGTGCATACCATTAGTAACATTGCTGAGAATGTGTATAGAGACTGACTAGAAAGGCTATGACTTGACCTCCAAGGTGGAGGATGAGAAAGATTGAAGACCGATAGACTGGAAGGAGCTACCGATTGCAACTTAGCATAAGTAGCAGTGCGAGGTCGGTGAGATGAACCAGCTCACCGGATGTAGTTGGTATAATATTATTTACATATGTACTGGTACCATTGGAGTCATTGCGAGAGCTTTCCATGAAACCTGTTGAATAGGCTGCACAGGCAAGATCGATAAGTTGCAGAGCAAGCGAACAAGCGAGCAGGCAAGTAGGACTGTAGTGATCGCACATTGGGTTAGGGTTGAGCCACTGCCCTTTCATGCAGGGACAGCTAGTAACGACAACGACCTACAACACACTATTCTCTCTGTGCTCCAAATGGCAGCCGATTTCAGTGGGCCTCTTCTGACCGCCTTTCGGATCGAGTACTCAAGGTTTGAAGGTGCTATTCGCACTGCCTTCGAGCATGGTTCGGACACAATCGTACTAGAACGACTCGGTGAACGACTTGATGAATTTATGCAGCTCGTTCATGAGGTGTGTCACTGTGCACTCACCATCAAATTATAGATCTAAATATAGGTTCAGCATTTCCAAATCTTTGACCCTGCCGAATTTCAGACGATTGTGGTCAATCTGACTGCCATGCAATCAGATGTTCGCTTGCAGTACCAGGACTTGCTCGCCGATTCACACCATGGCCACCCTACAGTCATATCTCAGGAAGGACCAGACCCATCAAATCCACACCGCGGTTGTCCTAAAATATACATTGATCCCGAGTTTCTAGCTTGGGCATACACACAACGCAGTGTTTCAAGCATCGCTCGCTTTCTCGGTGTCCATCGGCATACCGTCAAGCGGTGTCTTGTCGACTATGGCATTGTTGCTGCCGACGACCCAGTCCTAGCTCACAACACCGACATCGCACATCCTACCAGTTCAACTCCACCTCCGAGCCTTGAAGCCTCTCAGGCTGACCCTAGGACATCTAGCGATCAAGCAACCCACAGCGAACCCACCGAATCTGATGAGCTTCTCGATCCTACTCTGCCTATCCCCTCGTCATTCCCTAGTGATCTACGCAACTCCCTACCACAGCCTGTGTCAACAGCACTGCGAACAGACCTCACTAATGACGATCTTGACCACCTCCTTATCGTCCTACGCTCACATTATCATCGTGCTGGACTAAGTGTCCTAGATGGCATGCTCCGTGCACTTGGGCACCGTATCGGGCGGAATCGCCTCCGCCAGGCCTTGCTGCGTGTCGATCCTGTTCGTCGAGTCTTTGAGCGGATTCGCATACGACGCCGCGAGTATAAGGTCGCTGGACCCAATGCACTTTGGCATCATGATGGCCAGCATGGTAAGCAGTTATGCAACATTTTGCCGCACATCCTGAGTACTAACACACATCTGCTCAAAAGGTCTAATTCGCTGGGGTGTTGTGATCCATGGCTTCATCGATGGCTACTCACGACTCATCACTGGGTTACGTGCTAGTGATAATAACCGTGCCGAAACGGTTCTTCAGGTTTTCCTGGATGCTACCACACAATATTGCGTCCCATCACGTGTCCGTGGAGATCATGGTGTTGAGAATCTTCGTGTTGCAGAGTATATGGAGAGCTTCCGTGGTATCGGGCGTGGTTCGTACATCTGGGGGCGGTGAGTTATATCATATCAATCATTTATGCCATTCAATCTCCAACTCACCTGGCCTGACGTACATAGCAGTGTTCACAACATTCGCATCGAGCGACTCTGGGTGGATGTGACTGCTCAGGTCGGTGCAAAATGGGCCGATTACTTCACAGCACTAGAGCTTCACCATGGCCTTGATATCAATAACCCCCACCACATCTGGCTCCTGCACCGACTTTTCCTTGACTACATCAATTTTGACCTCACCTTTTTTGTCAAGGCTTGGAATGAACACAAGATCTCCCTGCGAACTGGTCCAAGGCGATCACCTGCTGACATGTTTGGCTTTGACATGCTAATACATGGTGTGCGAGGCGATGCACCAGCGGACATCATTAATAGTGACGAGGAACTTGAGGTGTATGGCCTGGACTGGGAGGCTTTACAAGAGGACGACTTGCGTACATCGCATGCAACGAACAATCCTCTGAGCGAAGGTTGGAGCTCATGGCTTGGTCGAACAGGACCTCCCGAACACCTCAATGAAGTCAACGTCGAGTCTCCACAAATCGAAAATCAGGAGGGCTTTCTACTTCTCGCTCTTTCACATACCCTCCCCCCTTTACAATACACAGGATATGTTACCCAAGAACAACTCATGAATCGCTGGGTAGTAGGACTTGCTACCTCAACAGCTTTATTTAGAACAGACTTCATAGGTTAAGCAGAATCATATATACATGCATATGCTCTCCAGATATGGAGGCAGGGCAGACGACAGTACTTTACGAGTGGTGGTGGGAAGAGCTGAACGAATGATAACGGGACGACAAGTCATAACGAGGTGATTTCGATCCGGGCAACGGTCGCATGTTGTACGACGATGGCGACGGCCAACTAGGTGGGATGCGCATAGGCTGAGCGTGCATCGGAGGCATGCGCGTTGGTGGCTGGGGTGTCACGTTCGCAGATCGGTCGCGATCTCCTCCACATTTGTACTTGGGGACAGTGGACAGGTGCTGTCGTGAACCTTCCCGCGGATGGACACTCACAATCGGAACCCGTGTTGCTCTCCCGAGCACGAACAATAGCGACTCACTGTTCAAGTTCCACCTGTTCGACCACGCACCCTCCCAAGCATCCTCCGGACCACCGTGGATCGCCAACAGGATCGGCCACTTCTTCTCGCCCTCCTTGAACCCAGGCGGCTTCAGCAGCTACCCGTGCACCTTCTTCCCCTCAGCGCCCTCAAACCAGAAGTCGCTGCCATCGTCCAGGGTTTTGCTCTTCAACGCGCTCGCCGCAAACCGCGTGATCTGCTCGACCTCGGGCTTCCCGTGAGCGACGAGCGCGTGAACACGAGCCGGCCATCCGACAGTGGCTGGATCGCGGACGCAGAGCCCGTCGACATAATCTCGCGCAGGGTACCGAACTCTGCAGAGAAGGAGGGGTCGCTCGAGGAGCTCGACGGCGTCTCAGGGACAGGGAGGGAGAAGATCTCGCCCCGTGCATGCTCGTTGGCCGTGAAGAATACGGTCTTGTCGTCGTGCGCGAACTGTCATGCACGCTGTCAGCACTCGGCGAGTGGAGGCGAGTGATAGCAGCTACGCACCGCGATGCTGCCAACGGAACGGTCCCAGTGCCCGGCCAGCGTGTACTGCACGTCCTTCTTCAGGTCGTAGATCACGAGCTTCGCACTGTCGGACGTCAGCGGGCGTACCACGGTGAACGTCGCTTGGAACGTACCGGTCGCTCTCGTGGCAATCACGGTCCAGCTGCGTCCAGGCGGCCTTGTTCCCAGCCGTGTTAAAGACAGGGCTGTGAGTCGCTCCATGTTTCCCTGAGGTGAGCTCGCGGGGCGTTGCCAGGCCGTGTATGTCAACGATGTATATCTAAGATACAAATCAATCATGTTGCCCAAACAAATCCATATGCTAGGACTTGCGTTTTGTTTATTGTGCCAGGCCTTCGGATGCTGAGGATCCTTGGCAGTATAGATGACATGACTATCGGACACGTCAAAGTCGTCGGTGCCTCCGAACGGCTCCACAGGAGCATGCTAGCAGAGGCATGAGCGTACACACACTGGGACAAGGCGGACGGTATTTACGTGGTTGGTGTTCTTCAACAGGTTCACAAAGTCGCTACCCAGAGCCCACTTCCCGTCTGCGCCCTTGCCGAGCTGAACGCTGAACGCTGAAGAGCGACGGTCTCTTCGTGCCAACCCAGGTATCCCAGTGTCGCTCGAATGTCTCGTCGTAGACGAACGCAGTATCACCTCGGTTCTCCCGGTTCTCCCAAGCTTCGTCGTTCTCCTTCGCCTTCTTCAAGTCGCCGTCGTTGTGCACGTAGCCCGAGAACACGAGAACGCCGGCCTTGGCCGAGTAGTGGAAGTTGGTCGGGAACTTGTCGATGTGCTGAGGAGAGTCGGGGAGACTGAGACCGGCAAGGGTCTTGACCTGAACAGAAATGGCGTAGAGATTGATAGCCTTGTCCTTGTCGGAGCCCTCAGCTACGGCATGCCTCGCCGCCAATTGCAAGAGGGAATATGATGGGGGCATACGCGGATGAGTCTTGCCCTCTCGCTCGCTTGCTTCGCCCGAGAATGCTACGTCGTATCCAGGACGCTCAACTACGGAGGAAGTCTAACTGCGACCGACGTCCCGAGCACCAATCCGGTCAATATTCTAGCCAGGACTAGTTTTAGTCTACGTCGAGGGGTGCTGACCACGAGAAGCGGACTAAGCAGAGCCTGGGGGCTCCTGAACGTGAGCAGGCTGAGGGAGCTGGGGGCGTAGTAGAAACAGATGTATTCACCGGAGGAGGCATTTGGACTGTCGGCACACGCTCATGTTGTTCGAGCGCGAGGGAGCATGGCCTGCCAGTGCATAGATGCTACCGAGAGGGGGTGTCCTCGCCGCAGAGTGTCGTTGTGCTCTTCATGCCTCGAACATCTTGATCCTAACGAGTAATGACGAGGAGTGCGAACGATCTGCGGGAAGAACATCGGGTACAGCTCCCGAGACTCGCTGTAGGCCTCGCTCGTGCGATGGGGGTCGCGTTGCTCCCAGTCACCCAATGTAGTCCGTTCCTGCTCCGGTGATACAGCTGCCGCAGATGCGAACGGGGATCAAACGCAGATGCAGATGCAGACACAGAGTGGGTACGACTGGGATTCTGCAAAGGGGCGGACGGACACTGCTCGGTAGGGCGCTGCATCTCGGGAGGACATTGCTGGTGGATGAGCCAAACAGAGATGTCGATAGAGGCGAGGGAAGCACGAGGGTAGGATCACTGGAACGAGCGAATTGTGTATCTGCGAGGCTGAGGTGGACAAGGGCAAGGGCATCGTTAGCATCCGCCTGAGCCATTGTCGATGCACTGGGAACCCGAGTATTCACCTTGAGCTTCCGGATTTCCTGTCCCCATCGTCCTCGGTCGACTCGCCATATGCGTGCATGCCCCCCGTCGTCATCCACCTCCATCGAGTCGTCCTCTCACGGCCTCGCGCTCGATGCGCTCCTCCTCCTTCCACCGGGCGATCTTATCCGCGATCGCGCCCTCGACCTTCCACGCCGGTCCGCCCTCAGCAGGTAAGGTCAGAATCACGATAGAGGAACTTCGATTCAAAATACTCACCGAATTCCTTTGCATTGGATGGACGATGATTGTTGGATGTTGAACGTTGAACTTGGATGTCGGAGCGTGGGAGCAGGACACCGGAACTAGCATAGCCGAGTAAGCATCAAGCGCTGGCAGCAGGACCTGGCCCGTCGGCAAACCTCAGCCCCGCCTGACCGAACCTCAGTGGTATCTAAGCGAACCTCAGTTGCATATGCAAGAACCTCAGTTCGGCACACATCGCGCAGCAAACTACCTACTCCTTGGTCGCTCTACAAGGAGGTCCCAACCCCTCAAGTACTTGCAGCTACGTGCGCACCAAGCGCGCATGTCCGACGCTCGGATCCTGCCGAAACGTACGATCACAGCCCAGGACCTGACAGCACATTTTTATACAGCTATACCACCATACGGTACCCTATGGATCCCGACGCGTTCTATCTTCCCGCACGGAGTCGCGCATTGAATCGCGCATACTGCCAAGAAGCGAGTCGCTTCTCGAACTTCGAACGCATCAGCAGGCCGGCGTGGAGAGTACTTGAAGACCGATAAGCTCCAGTCACACCAGTTTCCACTTCTCGCTCCTGATCCGTGCACAGGAGAGGCTGCAAACAACTCAAATCCTGGTGGACGTTCTTGGTTTGCCGCGATGAAAGTCTCAGCATTCTCCGTACTTGGTGGTGCGCCGGCACTCATACTGCTGAAATTGGGCTGTCTGGCTCGAGGCGCCTACGTCCTCGATGGTCGTACCCTCCCAGACGACTTCATTTTTAGTTGTGGTACATCTGCCTATCAAATCGAGGGCGCCACCGGGTCCCAGGCAGAGGGCGGTAAAGGCACAAGCATTTGGGACACCTTTGCGCACGAGAAGGGGCTAGGTCACATCGCCAATGATGAGACTGGAGATATCGCAGTTGACTTCTAGTGGGTTCCCTCCTAGTATCGCTACCTTGTGACAAACATGGTGCTAACCTCCTTGGTCGATAGTCACACCTATCCCCGGGACCTGCCTCTCTTTAGGCAGGCCCTCGGAGTTAATCAGTTCGACTTCACCGTCGCGTGGACGCGCATTCTTCCAAACGGCACAGGCACCACAGCCAATCCAGCCGGGCTCAATTTCTACCGTGATGTGATCATGACTGCACACAGGAATGGTATGACTGCTGCCTGCACTATCTACCACTGGGACCTGCCTCAGGCCCTACAGGACAAGTACGGAGGATGGCTCAACAAGCAAGTAGTCAGCG